TTCTTGTAGAGGATGACGAGATCTACAATTTCTGTATAAAAGTTTGTCGCTAGCATTAATATTTGACGAGTTATTGACGAAAAACTAAAAAACAGTTTTTTTGCAAATTACTCATTAATTATTGACGCTAGCGAATAACTTTTACATGGGAATTGTAGATCTTGTCATCCTCTACAAGAAAGGTCATATGCAATTTTTCCGTATGTCCAACGGTTTGGGAGTTATTGGCCAAAAACGAAAATTTCGCAAAATTTGAAGGGGTACCCCTTGGAAAAATCTCGGAAAAATCGAAAATTTTTTTTTGTTGTTTTTTATTAGCAATGTTCTTTCGACGTCTGATTTCTTTTTAAAAAATGCGTTCCTAAAGTGTATAAATTTTTGGGATTGACTGTATAGCCAATACATCCTTAATATACAATTTTTTCGAATCTACACGTCTTTTTGATGCGCTAAATTAATGGCAGAATAACCAAAGAGAAACGCAAAGAGAAGATTGACTATCCCACTTTTTGAAAGAGGCACAGGCTACACGAAGATACCTGAGAGAAGTGTGTCAAAGAAAAAGTCAACCATCCCCCTCTCCTAGCAAAGGAAAGGTGGACTTTCTTCCGAGATAGCTTAGCCCTGACATTGCTCGTCGTCCATCCACACCTGTGTACTTACGGTGTCCAGTCGCATCACGTTTCTGATTGCATGAATTCGTATATTCTCATCCGCATCCGCGATCCGCGCCAGCGCAAACTTGCCGTTGCCATCGACCTGTCCCGAGCTACACATAGTGTCTTCTCACTTGCTCACGTTTCTACTGGTTTCCCATCTCTTTTTGGATCATTGTACTTTCTTCCCTTCCACGTTTGCTCGTAGACGCGCACATGCGTATCCTTTCACTCTCTCCTCCCTTTTGCGCTTTCTCTCCGGTACTCTCTTTCATACCCTTCTATAATCTAGTCCGAATATTCAGCCGGTTTTCGGGCTCGGTCACTTCTTTACTGTTCGAAGCTTGTTAATATATCGTTTCACTTCCTCGTCGACGCTTCGCCTGGACACTCGGGGTGACTTCGCAGTGCGAAATACAAACAAGTGTCATTACGTTGATCTCTTTAAATTCATCGTATAGGAAAGTCATCAACTGTTCTTTAATGAGCGTAATCGTTTCACGGCGGCGACTGAGTTTTTATTGTGGTGAGAAGATATTCAACGAACTGGGAAACGAACATCCCTGTTATTATCGTCACATCCGATTAATCGTGACGGCATCGAACACAGGTAAATTAAAATTTATGTTTCATAGTGTTATTTTCAGCAAAAAGTTTTTAGTCAAATGTAAAACAACAGAAATTTGAAAGGAAAATATAGTAAATGAAGACATGCGAAGCTTCAAATATCTAAACGTCTGAAATCCTACGTACACTATAATGAAATTTATAAAATAATTATATTTATATTCTCATTGTTTAAATGTTCTTATCTAATATTATATTACTAAGTTAATCAACAATTTTTTGCTAGGTTTATTTCAGATGCAAAGTATTCTCATCTATAGGCAAATATGCAACACGCATAATTCTTTCATTTATTAAAACGTATGATTCTTCTTTTCATATTTAGCCACTTTATATTCTTTGCAAACGTTTCGTAATATTCAAGTTCGTAAACGTTTCGTAATCACGTTCCTAACGTACCAAGTAACGCATAAAAAAAAATACGTAAAATATATAAAAATAATCCTGGATATTTGTATTAAACAACAGACTCGTATAGGGAAAAAGTGATTTAAACGCACATTTTTATGAATTAATATTGAAATACGGGGCAGTCATCAAAACCGCGGTCAGGGCAACCGGTAATGACTAGTCTGCTGATCGTATTATCGCAAACAATGCACGCTTAGGCGGGGAAGTAAAAGAGGTAGCTCAGGCGAAGGTTCGTGGGAATCATTTATTTGTGGAGACGACTGTGGCACGGTCGTCAATGCTATCAATAAGACCCGTGTGACTGTTCGAAAGAACTGAACGAAAAGTATCCCTATCGACTCTTTGATTAAGTTAAATTATCCATCGTTTTAGGATGACGTTAACGTGTTTGGAAAAGGTATCGCTGATTGCGTTAGCAGCGATTGGCCTGCGAATTTTGTTACGAGTGAGCGTTTTCGTATGGAAGAAACTGATAGCACCAAGCTTCGGTTTTGGTATCGACGTGAGAACGCAAGGTAAATGGGCAGTGGTGACAGGTGCTACCGATGGTATTGGAAGAGCGTACGCTGAAGCGTTCGCGGAAAAAGGCTTGGATGTTGTTTTGGTTTCACGATCATTGGAAAAGCTTGAGGAAGTCGCATCTGAGATGAAACAACGTTATGGAGTTGAAGTTCAAGTTGTAGCAGCTGACCTGACCGAAGGACAAGCGGCTTTCGCGAAAATTGCCAAAGCCACCGAAGGATTGGAGGTATGTATTTTGTTGTATGTATAAGTGATCGTATTTCTTATGAAAACGTAAGGAACTTTTTGTATTTATGAAAACTTAAAATACCGATTTTCTTCTTTATCATTTTGTAAAGTCAAAACGTAACACTGAGAGCCACGTACTTGCCTGGGCCATCCCTCCCGGAACTACCCTATATATTGTGTTATATAATATAATATTTGAATGATCTTCTTATCCCATACGTGAACATAATAGCAAATGCTTTTACGAATTGCTTGTTTCTTAGGTAGAAAATGATATGGAACAGGTATATGTATAAATAGCGGGCAGAAAATTAATCGCAGTTGATTTTCGACAGATCGCTGTGGTGGTAAATAATGCTGGCGCGAGTTACGAACATCCGGATCTATTCATTAACGTAACGGAGGAATGTTTAGCAAAAATTTTACAATTGAACGTCGCAGCTATAACGGGCGTTGCAAGAGCACTTCTTCCTCAAATGTTCGAACGCAAAAAGGGAGTTTTGATAAACATGAGTTCGGCATTAGCAATTATACCAGCTCCTTATTTAGCCGGGTATGCAGCTAGCAAAGCTTTCATCGTAAAGCTTAGCCAGGACTTAGCTGCAGAAGCTGAACCTCGTGGTGTGACTGTTCAATGCGTCATTCCTGGCGTAGTCGCGACCAAGATGTCAAAGATCAAGTACGTAAAATGAAACTCATTTAACTGACTTCCGGTTCTGTGTCACTTACAATAGGTTATTCATATTTATAACTGATTCGTTGAATTCTTTTCAACCAAATACCGTCGAGTAATCATTTTTGTTTGCTACATCGGAAGTCAAGTGACATCGAATATGAAAAGGAATTAAAATTTATAAGACGTAGTATAATGATTATCTATATTTATATATTATTTTAGAAAGGCAACTTGGATGGCACCAACACCGGAAAAATTCGTAGAATCGGCACTAAAAACGATCGGCCTTGAATCTTGTACAACAGGATATCCGCCCCATCTCTTAGTAGTTGCTGTTGCACTTACCTTGCGTTGCATTTGCGAGAAAGGTGCAGTGTGGTTAATCTCTAGGACAATGTGTACCATAAGGAAACGTGCTTTGGATAAGAAAGCAAGAGAAGCAAACGTAAAACCAGAGCCACCACTCAGCGTCGAGTGAATTCGTAAGCCTCCTTCTTCTTCTTATCGTATACACGTAATTCAATTTTTACTATTTTCTAAATCGGCAATTTGGACTATAATAAACATGACTTGCTTGATGCACAATGTAGACATCATTCCGAAAATTTTGAGTAATTATGAAATTTTTAGCATGAACCAGAATCTGAAGACCTACGACTACAAATGTTACTGCTCAAAATCAAGTCATGAGGGATATATAATTTTCCTATAAGTTCTTGTTATATTCCTTGTATATACATTATGTCCCATATTTATAATTGTTATACAAATAAATAAACGTGATTGCTGTATTGACTATTTTTTAATAATCGTTCCCTTAATAATATTTAGTAACACGTTGAATTTTCTCTGTAAAATTTTATTTTTGTTCCGTATATAGATGAAATAAAAATGTTACTACTAATTTAAATGATTTGCGTAAGGTAATAAAGAATTTAAAGAAATCAACACATACATATATATTAGTGTGTACACATTGTGTAACATGTATTATAGAACGTATTTACAACGATATATTTACACTGTCATTACAAAAGTTGTGTTAAATGTACCAGAAACCTTAGAGCATATTATATACATATGTATGTACTACTGGAGGCAGCTTCTCAAGATGTAGGCGGGGTAGAAATGTTTAGCTACATGCTATCTCTTTCTCACGGCACGGTGTTAGCTGCAACACTCCCCTTACTTGTCAGTAAGCGATATGAAATTTGAAGCAATTTGAAGGGGAAAGGTCGTGACAAATTCCGTGCTGCGAAAAGAGACATCATGTAGATCAATTATATCTCTTTTTGCACGGATTTGTTTGTCTACACTTTCGATACATATGGAAGCTGCCTTCAATAGTATATGCTCTAAGCAACAGACTATTATATTCGTCGATTGATCACAGACATAAGAGAATAGAGCGAGTGTCCAACATATTTTTGTTGAGACCATGAAAGATAGAGAAAACATGGATTAAAGGAGTTTTTGCTTCCCTCTCTCTCTCTCTCTCTCTCTTTTTCTGACGTGCTGATAGAAAAAAAAGACGTCTGATATTAATATTCGTTTTCTCAATCGCTTGGTCTGAAGTCTTCTGTTTGGGCGCTCGGTATTTTTTCATGTCTGTCTATACGATTGATTTGACCGCAAACACGAGAGAACACATTCACACGCTTCATTAGCTAAAATCACGGTCGTGGCTAAAATAAACTATGTGCTTTTTTCTCATTCACACGGTTAGACGCTTTTGTCACTTAAACTTTAAAAATAACGCTATCGACATATTTTTCTCTAACGAGAACAGTTTCGCTTCACGACGAAATAATTTAAATCTTTTAATCTCACACGTTAATTATGTATGAGTGGTATGACTATGTGTATGAACTCTCGGACTTTTCTACGAGTTTATGAAGAATAGAAATTTATACAGGAAGAAAAACGGGAAATATACTTTATCCTTTTGATGAATGTAGTAATTAATGAATCAATAAGTTTCCATCCTATGATGCTTTGCTACTGAAAAATGTACGCTTGTATAATATATCATTCGACAATCTATTTAATTCGCTATCTCGTGATAATCACACAACACCAAAAGAATCATACCGTAGAAAACTTTCTACTTTCTATATACACATGTATAAATACATTTACTCTGTTCATACATGCATACAGAAAGTTGATTTTCTTGCACAGGTTTATGTATGTATACAGGATGGTTCACACTGACTGTTGCCGTACATTCTTAACATACGTGATGTATAAATGTTTTTAATTAAAGGATTCTTCAAATGTAAACTTGATTATTAGTCAATGTAAACGTAGAATGAAAGATCTAGATTGAACTTACTCTGAAAAGTCGTCCGTTTATCAGATTTGTGATAGTTTCTGAAACAACACGTGCAAATCTAATTCGAGTTTAACACAAAACTCCTATTCGCTCGATCTAACGCATTATATTACTTATAAAGATAAATAAGTCGAATTATAAGAAAGAAAAATTATTTTCTCTATACATTATATAAATACCGGCTCGTATATTTATTAGAGACCTTCGACAAAAACGTAGATAGACACGGTCGCGTTTTCTATGATGGAACAAAAGTCCTTCGGAAGACAACGTTCTCTCTCTGTCTTTAAACCACAATATCGATGATTCGTCATTAAATTAATATCACTAAACATTATATATGTATTAACTGACTGAACATTTGAATGATGCGGACGTTTATACAATACATATAATTTTGCAAACTAAGTATCTGAAACTTCAAAGTATCGAGTTTAGGTAGATATACATATATTTTATGCTTTAGACATTAAAATCTGTATATGTATATTTCAATTTGGAAATTTTATGTATCTTTGTGCATAGGACGAATGTTTAAAAAGTACATAAACATCTCACAAGTACATAAATATTCGCAGTCTATAAGTGATGTACATGTTTAAGTTGACTGAAAAGAAGAATTGGATATAAAGGCAGAAATTATGGTAAAAGATGGAAATAAATGATTTGAAGTATTTCTATAAATAATCCCGATGTTGTTCAATGCACTTACTAAAACTGGATAATGGTCGGCTGTCGATTTGTAGTCATAAATCAATTGTTCTATCAGTTATTTATCTCTGCCAACTATGAATAGTTACGTTGCACGATCGTTAGTACGGAAACCTTCGTTTAAAGAATTAACACTATCTATTAATGGAAATTTGGCACCAGGCAACCGACGATTTTCTGGAATGTCTGACATCCATCCATCGGTCAGCGTACATCGTTTTTATAATCAGACACAAGCGCAGACACTAGTTCTCGGTTCACTCGCAGTCAGTAAATAGAATCGAGTCGATTTAACGTAGTAATTAATGTGAATGTATATCGAACAACTGAATGTTCCAAAAGTGAGTATATTGATACTAAAGTAAATTTGTTAATTGTTTAATGAGACTTTTCATGAAAATTTTACTTATGATAAAAGTAAAAAAATATTGTGTGAATTATTCAATGGAGAAATAGGTGTTCACGTAAAATAAGTTGAAAGTATATAAAAATCATGCGATCAGTTTTTCACATATTTAAATGGATGGACTTTTACAATACATCTCGCTGATCTCAAGTGATCAATGGCAACCGCAACTCTTGACGACCATGTTTTTGTACTTCTTCAGTATAACATTACTTTCGTCGAGGAAATAAAGCACGGAGATCGGTGAGAGTTTCGTTGGTGCACAGCAGGGCTTTGGTACTTTACCAGGACTAACCAAATGCACCAACGTTTGGACGATCGCGTGATTCGTCGCGTTCATATGAGCGTTTAAGGGAAAATTGCACTCGCCGCTGCAATAATAGGCATCATAACCGTCCGGTGCTATGATCCAATCCTGAAATAGATAAACACTCACTGATTAATAATCATAAATGTAACCGAATCATTAATACACAATTGTATCTTGCTCTTTTCTAGGAACAAGTTCAGAATTTCGACAAGTCTTATAACACTTTTCCGATTTATATGCAAGATGGGAAAATTATTTTCGTTTATTGTCATTTTAATTACTCCATTCTCTACGACGACTTACCTGCCACTTCAAATCTCTAAAGCTGACATATAACGTTTGAATTTTACAAGTCCTCGAGTTGTATTGTACGCCAGGATCTAAAAGATGATAATAAATGTTTTAACATATAATATGATATTCCCTGATTTTTTTATTATTGTATGCAAGTGAGGTAAAAATACATGCAATTGAACTAAGATACGTATATACAAATGAGTTGCAAATTATTGTACTGATTTTTATTATCTTTTACGCTCATGAAATGTTTTAAGAGCTCGTTAGTAGAACAAGCTGAAAACAATTATGAAAATGGTCAACCGGCAAGATAATTTAAGCAAAACGTTAATCCTTCTTAAACGTCTGACTACCAGTTATGCTAGCTCAATCTATGACAAGAGTTTAATGAAACGAAGCTGTTTTAACACGTGTTAATATACGCGCGTACATTAATCAATCTCTGCTGTCAGTTTCATAAAGCAAAAGTCTAATAAAAATACATAACGCGCATTTCTTACCAGTGTACGGATTATTTCGATAATCCAGACTCGAAGATTCACTCTTCTTTCTTCTCCTGGCATCTCGTTTCTGTCTTATTTTCTTCTCCCTGATGCCAGAACTTTTAAAATAGCCTACCATAAAAGGCTGTTTATCGGGATCGCCCCTAAACCCGACGATACCAATGTCTTCTGGCCTCATTTCGTGCACTGAAACAATTTTTACAATTTCTATAATTAGTTCCAAACTATTTTATTCCTTTACGAGTAAGAGAAATAATTTAGATAATTTCTAAATATACTTATAAATTACATTTAAGAAGTATGTGCAACTTGATATATTCCATTGTGACGTTATACATATATTCCAATGGAACGTGAAAACTCGATCGATGATTCTTAATTATCTATTTGATTCCATAAGCGGAATGCAAGCTGCAACGATTATGTTATTATGATTATATGTATATGTACGTGTTTGTTAGAACGGCTTGCCTGCCAGGTGGTATTATTAATAGGCAACCTTCGGAAATATTAACTATTAGGAATCTCGACGCGACCGTGTGTTAGTCGATCAGGCTTCTCGATACCACTCGATTGAGGGAGCCGTTCACTTCGCCGATATAGGCAACGCAACGTGGTTCACGGTTTCTCAACGCGTTGGCCCTGCAATTAAGGTTGTTCTGGCTATAAATTAAATTAGTGACACATGTTTGAAATTTTGCAAATAAATAGCATGTTAAACTCACATACCAACGTGAGTATCTACATAGCAAAATCAGGGAATACACTATGTCTAGAATATGTTTTTCAGAGATTATATAGTCAGAACAACCTTAAGTCACAGTTAATTAATCCTCTGTAATGGCGTTGATTAATTAAAAATGACATGAACAAGCTCACGATAATTTAAGTTTGTGCTTCTACGTGAAGTTGAATCTTTCCGTATCTCATTGATTCAATTACCTAGGTCAACCTTATTACCATAGTCCACGTGCTTCGTACAAATCACCTGTTTGTCCTTAAATGAGAATACTGAGTTTCATCACAAAATTAGTAACTAACATGACCAGAGATACATATGTACGTAATTTAATGGTCAGCTGCGTTTATACATAATTAATTTACATCCATGATTGGGCTTGGCCTCAAAATATAAATCGCTCGTTGCAGTGCGTACTAAGAAAGTACATTCTCTAAATAAGAAGTCAAGACACAGAACCACTAGGACGCGACAGAGGAAGTATTTTTCAAGCGAAATCGATTCGCATGCAGCTCGCGATTTTCACGCGATATCGAAATCCGAACGAAAGGACATGGATTATACGTGCGAGCAATCCAAACGGTCTGATTGTGCGTACACTCCTGTGCATAAATATACGTTTGGAAGTTCTTAAGTTTTAAGTACAGTCTAATTTATCAACAATAAAACTGTGTGTTTAATGTTAAAACTACGCTTTCAACGAAAAGATCTTATTCTATATTCTTTATCTTTTTACGTGTAGAATCATCTGGTTGAGGTAGTATTCATCAGACGTCTCTTGTTTAAACACAATTTAAGTGATTCAACACATCTTAATATACTTTTACATGCTTCTTTAAATGTTACTAGTTAATTTCGCATTATGCGCACGATTGAAAACATTTTGCCAGGGGGATTACACAAGTATACACCGTATACATATACTACGTATACATATGTATGTACATATAAGATATAGACTCGTGTGGCTGGGGACCGGGGGAACTCGTCTCCTCCTCGGGTCGCATTACCGCGTATGCAAATGATCGCTGTTACGAGCACGACCGTGCCGAGTTCGAGAAAGCTAGTAAATTGGCTCGCAGGAATGCGCATTCACCGTGATTGTACCGGACACCTGCTGCTGCACTTTGCGCGCCGTTATGTGTATTGGCTCGCTGGGAAAGTAATGTCGGCTTCTAACCGTAGTAGTGTTTGCCGACTTTTTCATGTATTTTATTACACATTTAAACCAACCAATATTTAATATTAATTAGAATAAACAGAATTTGTTTCGTTTTGCAGACAACGTCCTCGATCAATTATCATTGTTTTTGTAAGTTATTATTGGACTTGACCATCATTTTAAAACATTTGCATACTCAAGAGTCAAGAGTGTCGCTTCTTTTTCCAATAATCTTCCTCTTCGTGGGTGGATAGCAGATTTTGCGTGATCTTGAGAGAAATCTCCGAGATCGTTGTCGTTTATTAAATAATTCAAATACCGCAGATGGGAAGACAAAGGATCGACGAAAACTGTTGAAAGGTCTATCTACTGTGACGGCTTTAACGTTTAGGCGTACACGTATTATGTACGTATTTATTATATGGTATTACGACACTGTAATAGAGTCGCTATCGGGAGGCTAATAGAGTAGTAACAAACGTAGTTGCAATCGTTTCTGTCAAACGTGCGTCGCACAATAAAACTTCCTCAACTGTATTGATTACACGCTTATTTTGACTTAAATGTCACAATTGTATTTTACTCCTTTTTTATGTGAAGTGAAAAATTCATGATAGATACGATTTCATAGTTTTAATTTAAATGCACGTATCTTGCAAAGATTAATTTTTCATTCACGGTGATAGTGAACTGTGGCATTTTTCAATATCGGAACGAATAAGTGGTTCAGCGATTTAGTACACGTATTAGAGGAAAAGCGTGGGCGTATCACGCTGAGGTGCGTAGCCGGCCTTTGGAGGCAGAAATATGTATACGTATATGTGTGTATCTGCACTTTCGAAAGCATCTGGTTTTCTGCAACTGGAGGAAACTTCCTCCGCGTGTAAACAAACCAACGGGCTCTTTACGAAACCAGGCGAAGAGGAAAACTGTGAGGAAACGAATAAACTTTCACGTTTACACAGCGGAACGTGCATTTACATGAAATACGAAGAAAATCATTGCAACAATATGATTTTATTCATTTTCTTCCTACGACTGCGCTGTAAGAGTATCTACAAATTACAGTTTCAACTAGAATGGTATTTGTCAGATATCTGGATACATTCTACCTTCTATGTAAATTCAAATAAGCCCAACCTGAGAGAGTCGAAGTCGGCCTCTGTAAGTCAAAGTTTTGTGCGTGCGTGTGACTCTGATCTTGTGTTTTATATTGAATGATCAAAGGTAAACCGGTTGTGCTCGCGAATGAGAGAGGAGCAGAAGAAGAGCGGAGAGACGTGAGAAAGAGGGAAAGCGCGACGGTCGTGAACGTTAGTTGAGGAGCGACGAGGGAAAAGAGAGAAACCTGGAAGGAGGGAACATGGAGGTGAGAGAGACGAGCAACAAAATGATCTAGGTATGGCAAATAAACTGTGTATGCACATGTGAACGTTTCAACATCACGGTGAGAAGCCTGCATATAATCAATAATACTGGCACGTAGTGATTTTAGATACTGTCAGTCACGTGCAATTGATATCGAAGCAATGAAATTGTATAATAGTACATTGATGAAAATTTGTACAATATAATCCCCTGTCACGTCTTCGCCCACACTAATTATCGTATATAGAATTGAAAACGTATAAAATAAACATATTTACTTAAGAACATATTTCATGAGCAAAAATCAAATCGCTAAGTCATGAAACTTGGAAGATATTGAGGATTTTGTAAATATACAAACACAAGTTTTTTCTTTATCAGTATAATAATAAGATATTGCGATGTCCAAGTGCATGGATAATGCGGCTATGAGCTTTTTTCAATGTGCAGCAATACCAATATCTCGTCTAATCTCTTACGTAAAGATCATCGATATATCCTGCCACCTTCTTAGCACTCAGGGATCGAAAAAAACACATGTTCATGTGGAATATTAGGCTCTGTTGTCCGTGAACCGGTTGTTTTTCATACGGTATCCCAATGAAGATTTAATCGGCCAAGGCTACCAGATTCTGGGACCAGTGGAAAATTCTGACAAGCGATATCCATCCATGAAAGGAAACGAACACCGTCAATGATTTAAAGTTCGCCGGTTTACGGCTGACCTGAACAGGTGTAGCTTATCTAAAGGATCTTGAATCGAGATAATCTTCCCATGTACGCCTCGCGATGCTATTCTTGAATATAAGATTCGGTGGCGGAGTTAGATTCAGAGGCGTTCTTATCTGGTCAAGTCATCTAACGAGCCTTCGATCCGTCCCGTTCATATTTATCTATCTTTATTTCTCTTACACAGTTAGAGTAGTCCTTTCGTATCAAGTTTCAGCATTATTTGAATTAAAATAATCATTTAAATGTATAAGAAAACGTATAAGCATACGGTGCTTCATTAAGTACCATGAAGAAATAATTTATTTTTCTTAATACTATATCACTACTTAAAAGACTTCTTTAATTTCAATTAAATCGAATCGCATTCACGCGCGTCTCGATAGCATCGGAAGAGGAAGACAGAACGTCGCCATAGCTTGGCCGTTTGTTCATAATGTTGATCAATTTGCGCTAGCTAGTTAAAACTAGAAACGAAACCGAGCAACGCACAAATGCATAGAAATATAGATAGGAATTCTAATCCGAATTACGAATAGGTAAACAAAGTTATTATTAGATAAAATGATCCTGCGCGAAGCGTTTAGTAAATGCACAAGATTTATTGCTCCTGTGATACTCCGCAGACTATCAACACAGTAATCGCAGATAAATGCAACGTAAGAAAAATAGTTTACCACGAAAACAGAATGTAAAGTATACAACAAAATATTTTGGATTGTCAAGAAAAATAATATCAGATTTTATTTTTATATTTTACTTTTACATTAAACGAGCAAACGGACAATATTTACTCACCAGAACGATCTGCGGGATGTACCGATAGGTACAGTCCTTTATTTCCATCGGGATTATTCACCCAATGCGAAAGAGGTTCACTAACATTTAAAGTCAACCATCCCTCCCTTCCCATTGTCGTGTTTACTGCATCTACGTATTGAAGCTCCCTTGTCCTGTAAAATAAAATAGTACAATCATATAAGTATGTGAAACCGTCATGACAAATATAGTGGGCGTAGGAAGTATTCGTATACTCCGTAAAGTAAAATAAATATTTTAATATTGGCCTCGATTTTGATTTTGTAGAGAAATTAAAAAAAAAGATCACAACTCGCGAGCAAAGAATTAAAAGCTGCTCTTTTTAACTGTTTCACTTGAGTTCGTAAGTGCATTTCTAATCGAAAGAGCTGAGTATTTTCTTGAAATTAATTACTGAAGGTAACACTGTACTCTCGCTGGAAACAATAAGCTAATAGCTGCAACGAGCATTGCAACGCATTAGCCAGCTGCTAAAAGCCACTTACGACGCCTAGCTGCCTGCTCGGTGTCACCAATACACATGTTTGTAATTTTCTTTGCATATATCAAGGAAAACTCGCATTACTCACTGCATTAACACGCAGTTCTGTGGACAACGAACAGCAAATACTCTCGTAGCATGAAAATCATTTTCGCTGATCGAAACAAACATTTTCGCAACTTCGTCATGCGTTGAAAATTTTATTCAAAGTGTTTATGAAATCATATGCAAAATTCAGATGACATAGTACGAGATAATTTGATCATGAATTCTGATAATGAAATTAAGTGATAAATCGTTCCGAGTAACCATTTTTATTGATTCAATTCACATTTAAAATGTGGCGTTATTTTCGGTCATGATACATAATATAGAGATCTGTTCAGAAGAAGGTAAAGCACGGTAACGAGAACTAATTAGTAAAAGCAAAGAAACGAGACATCGCGCATGTATGGTCAAAGACGTATATTGTTTCTATTAACGAGAATCGTTGGTTGCATCGCATCGGTTCGAATCACACAACTCATCGATAAAATCGATCAATAGGAAACCGCTGGATCTTACGTAACCGGCCATGTTAACTGATTGTGAGATACATGCTACCGACTGTTGAAAGATGCGACGAGCCATTCGCTATTCGTTTGACGCGATTCGATTCCTTCTTCCGATCCGATCGTGACTCGACTGATTCGCGCGAATACGAATCCGTCTCTGCACGTGGCTCGCGTCAACAGGATTTCAGTGGAACACGCTAATCATTGTTCATTGAGCGAAACGCGCATCATCTTTGATCCCCACAGACGAGAACGCATTTCTTAAACGACGTATTTATCTTTTTCCCGGGACTAATTATATTTCCTGTAATTGGTTAAGAAGATGGACAGCTTCCAACGATATTCTAATTAAAATACCTACATATAAAATACCTGTATTGATTAAATGAATCGTTGTTTTCAATTCGATATCTGTTCGATTCACATTCAAAACGTCTGTGATTAGAAACGCTGAAAATGTAAACATACGAGAGACAAATCGTCCAACATTCCTGCATTAATTTTCTTCGTAGGAAATTGTGCGCATTATCTTGCAACTAACGTGGCAACATTTTTTTTCTTTTCAATTTTCGCGAACGTGTTTCGCATTCAATAAAATTTCTATTCCTCTGAAGATTCATCAAGTGAATATTTCTCTGAATGTATTTAATTCTTATTCAGTAGTATAGAGGAACTGTGTTATATTAATTCTGAAGTGAATTCAATACGTTTCAACCATACGAAAGCTATTATGTACACGTAATACATTCATGAATGCAAAAATCGATGAAAAAGTCACACGGTTGTCAATCAACTTTTTGCTTCACTCAGGTGTTATGTATACATTGAATTTTAATGCGCGGCCAATACTAATGAACAGGACATTATTTCCGTGACAACTTGAATCCCATTCGGTAGACTACGGCAAATACCGATTGAATCAAATGGAAGATACACTTTGAAAAATAATCTACAACACTACGTAAAATGAACTCGAAAACAGTTTTTTGACTATTTCCATTCAATAATATTTGCCTAGAACGATCAAAGAAACAATGATATTTTGACAACTGCAAGGAGAAAAATTCATAAATCCTTAATTGGGTTTAAAAACTCGAGACCCTGAAACTCGTTATGGTAAGTATCACTGTCTGACACGACCTAGAGTTGTCTTCTCGTCGTTTGCTGACATATGCAATGAGAGCCAGAAATTAATCTAGGGTAAACCAACAAATTGGTAGATATTTTAAAAAACGTTGGTTTAAAGTAGAATGTTTCGAATTTTATTATATACATATATCCGGGAAGTAGTATACACAGATGAGCGAAAGTTTCTCCAGATTGTTACAGTGAGGACGTAGCTTAAGAAACCAGAGTCGCCAGTGTGTCTCGGCTGGTCCAGAAGAAACAGGAGGATGAAGAGGCGGAGGATGATGCGTCACGCACCTAGTTTGACGGAAGAAGAAGAGGAGAAGAAGAAGGCGGAGGAAGAGAAGGAAGAGGAGGTGGAGTAGCCGTTTGCGTGTAACTGCGTAGGCATACAAAGTAACTCGTGCTCTGTTAACTCCTCGCTCGAAGAGATCCCGTCTCCATGGTTAATTTACCTCAATTTACGGAATAGCGTTTCCTGTCGGGGCTTTATATGTATATCGGTCAGGTCGTAATGCCAAAGTCTGCAGAGGTATCGTCAGTAGAACAGGGATGGCTCTAGACGCGCTGTCGCCATCCGGCACACGATCTTTTCTCCTCGTATACCGAGACCAGACACGTGCACACGAAATTACTACATTGTCTACGTTAATACTTGGCAATTTTTTTTATTCGCATGTCTGATTTCTCAAATAATCTCTGACATCCTTCTCTACCATTTCTGTGTAAAATAGAATAACTAAACAGTTTACCAAAATTAACAAAAAATAGATATATCAGAATCTATATGTAATTTGATATCTAATCTGTATACAGGGATATGTTATTTATTACATTTGCGGATTTGTATGCATAATAAACCATTTATAGTATCAGTTTAAAACATGTGTTTCAAATAATTTGCTTTATTCTTTAAACATTACACGCTTTGCGATTAGTATCCTACACAGTTTTATTCAGTATTTACAGTGTTTGCAATTTTTGTACATTCAATTCTCTCATAAATGCATAAAATCAACACATTATACTACATTAATATTGAGTAAACTTAACAATCTTCATACTGAATAAGAAATCTATTCTAAGAAATTGATTTTGCAATTATATTTTCGCCCACTTTCCTATGATGTTTCATGGCGAGAACCAAGCATACCGGTGGCTCTGACTAATTTGTTATATTTTAATGATGGACGATAAAAATCGACGAGGAGTATGGCGTAATAGAGTCGGTTCGTCTAGAAAGGAATCGGCCGTTTTTCGTGGGCGACCCTGGGATACATGAATGAGAAAGGTAGAGTCGAACGAACAGAGACGGCTAGATCGAAAATGGTCCTCGAGAAACTCTCTCACAGGTAGAACAAATACCTGAGATTTTTTCGGCGACTTAAGGACGGCCTAATTAGAGGCACGATGACGATGTCAAAAACCACGGACGAGGCCCGAGGGAACACTGAAATTGGTCTAACCACCCACCTGGGTGGAACCTGACTCTATCTACAACGGACCAGCGACGGGCAAAAAGTATTTCAAAAATTATTAACCGAGTAAATTAATTCGATGTCTTTCAATTTATCCGCTTTTAATTATGAACTTTCAGTAGGAACAGTAACGCTTTCAAATCTTCTACTTGTTCATTACAAACAAAAATCAGAGTTTGGACGGTGGGCTAAAACGTATATAAATATAGACAAAGGAAAAAAAAAAATAAAAAGTAATTTTGATCCTCGATTATAATGTAACGTTTAAATTCGCAGAGGCTATAATCGTGAAAGATTTACAAAAGCTTTTTGCCATTATTCCTTAGTTAGAGACCACTTCAAAATTATTTATTACCCTTTTAGGTCATCTTAAAATGATCAACTGTCCCTTTTAGTTAGAACTAACTGCAGGTAGAGGTAATACCTGAATACAGTTTTCCGAGACTCCAAAGGGAATTTGCTAATTGCCAATACAAAGATAACGAAAGAGAAATCATTGCAAATATGCGTGGAAGTATGTTTGGACTACGTAAAAATTAGCAAACCCTGGTGTTCATTAGCAATAGTGATCACCAAACTTGAATTGTATTTTAGTTATATTGAGCATAATAATGATTTGTCATAACACTCACCCATCCTCGGTTCTTAAGACTCGGTAGGCCGCTATCATGTATGATCCACGGTTCTTTCGATTCTTTATGTTCATACTGCGGTACAGCCTAAGTTCCGCGCCGATTATGTGTTCACCAGGTGGTACCTCGGAGACGTCGAACCAGAGCCTTTTGCCGCGCTCGTGCCTCACTCCGGGAACGTGATGATCTGCGGAATGAAAGTTGTCAAAATTCATTCACAAAACTGAATCTCTCAGTCATTTCATTTCTCATTAACGTTCATAACTTCGAAGGGTTTCTACAAACAAATTCGAAAAACTATTAAGTGTCCGTGTAAAGAGAATTGTAGAAAAAGAAATGTAGCATATTTTCAGGTATAATTAGCTTTGGTACATTAACCCATGAAAATATTGCTAGCAATAGTATAAATTTACGACGAGATTTTCGAACAAAGTAAGCAAGCTTGTCCTTTCGAGGAAATCGCCGTTCAGTCATTATCCTTCGTTTATGGTACTTCTTGAAGAATGAAAATAATCAGAAACGATGAGATAATAAAAATGTACTTTGTACTTCAATAACATGTAAACGTATTAAATATTTTGCGAAAACACGTTCCAAGTATCGAGTAGACTCCGTACGAATATCGATGAACCATCCAGATTTCAGCGAAATAGTTCTCTTCTGTCCAGCAGCGAGCAACGGTAATTCCATCGTTCACGCTAAACTAGCAGCAAATCAATTTTCCCCGAAACAACGGAGCCAAACATGTTGCAGTCACATCTTAATCTCCGACCCTGACCGGGACTCGAGTCTCGAACCAAGCCAAAGGTTTCGTTTGAAAGCCGAAGAGGAAGAAGAGAACAGAGGAGTGGAAGAGACAGCACGAGGCAACGAGCTTCTTGTGTAGACAACACCGATAATCGGGTATCCTCGTTCCGGCACGAGATCGATAAGGGAATCGTTACTCTCGTAAATGAGAAGCCCGTAGAAACGAGCCGTGGACAATTCGCAGCGTGAAATCGTCCTTTTTTCTACCGCCAAAGTCGAGCGCCTCGGAGGGAACGAAATGGAAGTCAGCAGTAGGTAATACCCTCCCTACCAACGTGACGGTGAACCATGGCCCCCTTAACTTAAGTAATGCCTAATGTTTCTCCCGAGGAGGCCGACTCACGAAGGTGGGGAACTAAGAATGAGAAGCAAAAGCGAACGAGAGCCGAAAGAAGGAAGAAGGGGTGGGAGAGGAAAAGAGTCAGGGAGGGACGAGGGCATAAAAATTTGTTTTGTTTTTCTCTCGGACGGTCGCATTCCAACGGCACCTGATTGCCGCGAGCCGAGGCTGGATCCCTCGGCTCTCGGGGTGGTCCCAAATAGCTTGGGACCATCCTGGACCGCTTCACGACCGACTGGACTTTTCTTTTTACCCCAGCATCCTCCTCTTTCTCCACGTCCACGGTCTTCTACGACGGTTCTTCCCTATACACTTATACACCTACGTACTCTTTCTAACTTTTCGCTTCTTCCATTGCTTTCATTCCTTCATTCACCCACACATATTGTCTTCTATCTCCTTTTCTCCTCTTCCTTCCTTCTATCTCAGGCTTGAACATTATTGAAATTGTATATTATCACTGTTCAAAACTGTAACCAGCTGGCAATTCTAGCGATACTTTTCCAGGAATATCTGTGGGCTGCTTGCCATCGAAACTCCGATGTTACTCATACCCCGATATCGCGATCCAATCGACAACTTCATAGCGATCATCACTGAATCGCTAATTTTAAGGATGTATTGGCTATGCAGTCAATCCCAAAAATTTATACACTTTAGGAACGCATTTTTTAAAAAGAAATCAGACGTCGGAAGAACATTGCTAATAAAAAACAACAAAAAAAAATTTTCGATTTTTCCGAGATTTTTCCAAGGGGTACACCCCTTCAAATTTTGCGAAATTTTCGTTTTTGGCCAATAACTCCCAAACCGTTGGACATACGGAAAAATTGCATATGACCTTTCTTGTAGAGGATGACAAGATCTATAATTTCCATGTAAAAGTTATTCGCTAGCGTCAATAGTTAATGAGTAATTTTCAAAAAACTATTTTTTAGTTTTTCGTCAATAACTCGTCAAATATTAATGCTAGCGACAAACTTTTATACAGAAATTGTAGATCTCGTCATCCTCTACAAGGAAGGTTGTATGCAATTTTGTAGAACCAACGGTTTAGGAGTAATAGAGGAAAAACGAAATTTTTTGTCAAAAGTTCGCTGTTTCGATGCTGCGATGGTCGGATTTTGTCAACATCAATAAAATGCCAAATAATCATACGTAACTCGTTAAATATCGAAGTTAGAAGTAAAACAACTTTTATTTCAAGCATTTTTCGCAATTTTGAAGAAAAAAAAATTTTCGTCAGCGTCAATACTTACACATTTCCTTCTATACTTTTTAGGACGTAGCTATTTATTATTAGCATTATTCTTCCGACGTCTGATTTCTTTTTAATTATAGGAAATGCGTTTTTCTAAGGTACATAAACTTTTGGGATTGACTGTATAGCCAATGCATCCTTAACAAATCAGATCCTCCTTTTCAGTCATTTCTAACCAAAAGCTTTGAAACGTAGCTACAAAGCACCTCAAAGAAAATATATTTAAATTACAGATACCTTATCGAGAGATCCAAGTACGTGCATATAACATTTATACTGTTGAATGACCAACCACTTAGTATAATAAGTGCTACCCTGTTATCTCTAGTTTGAAGAAATCATCCTCGGTACGGTCGAAAACAACTTAGTCATGAGATAGTGCTAAGGTCTAAAATCCACCCTTAATCATAAAAATCGGAGTCACACTCTCCCCCAAACCTAAGAACACATATATACTCCCGTGATTTACGGAACGAGGTAGATTTTGACTGGACTCCGTAGGAACCACTGTTCTCTCGAATTCCTCACTGTTGTATATAATACCTTTTTTGGAAATATGCAGTTATATCGTTAATTTGTACATATGTGATAATGTAACAATAATATCTGTGCTGATTTGCTACGAAAGGGGAATCGAGATTCTACAGGCATCAAGTGCACCAAATGTAACCAGATGGGACCTAATTAGTCCAACTACGTAACGTACGAGAAAAGAAAAGGAACACTGCTCGCGGCGCGGGGTTCCTCACTTTTACAAAGAGAGCGCACAGAAGTAGAAAGAGCGAACAGAAAACAATTCATCGATTGCGTTCGAGCCTGTTCTTCTTCCTTCTTCTTCTCGTTTCTCTCTTTGGGCCACCCGCCCTGGGGTCGTTCGGCTCTTTCTTTTTGCCCGTTCTCTCGCGAAGAAGCCACCCTACAGCGAAAGATAGATAGATAGGAAGAGAAGGGAGGTCCTGGGAAAGCAAGGAGCAAAAGAAACATCCGAGACGAGTCGGGGCACCCAAGTTGAGACATTTTTACCTGCCCACGGCCTCGCACGGGGAGAGATATTGACTCGTCTTCCACGTTTGGCTATCCGCACGATTTGCCAGAACGGGGAGAGTCCAGATGGGGCAAACTTTGTATAATATATGGGTCGCACCGTAGCTCCTTGTGTACAGTAAGCAACAAAACTGAAGCTATATGCTGTATAGCACTCATTTACGGTAATCATCATTAATTTCATTAAATTATTTCGTAACAAACATAAGGGTCAATTTAATTTTCGTGGGGAGCGAACTGTTACGTTTTCTATTTTATGTATTATTACATTATGCATGTAAACTAATCGTGATTTTACACACGTTCATAATAACTTGATCTACCATTACAATTAACCTGTAAATTATTTTTATTTTGTTAATGTCGTTTATCTATCAATAATAATATACCTAAGTAAATGATTGCATATGAAAGGACTGTTATTGGCTTAGTTTTGTTCTTTACTGTACACGTGAGCGCACGCCCGCAAAAATCGTCCAGATGCGTGTGAATATCGAAAAGATCCGGGAGTCAATCGGTCCATAAATCGGATACTTTTAGAGCAGTATACAGACTCCAATTTGACAAATCGTACAATCGAAAATCTGTCGTATAGAAACTTTGCTAATGTACAGTACTGCGTACGAATTAATGTGAAATTATGAATACATATGTATGCCTACACTATTTCGATAACAGAATTTTCAAAACTTTTAGATATTAGCAATATATGTATCAATGTAATTACAAAATTCTATCATTAATAATCCTATTTCTAAAATGCAATTTATATGTATAATTAGTTTAACTCAACTTTTTCAATTTTTCTTTAATGTTTAAATACAAATCTATCTGTTAATAGTAAAAGAGTACATGATTTGGAGTTCTATTCCGTTAAATAGCAACATTAAAGCTGGAAGCCCTTGAAATGATCAAAAACTAGTTCTTCAATAGTAGATGTGCAAAGATGGTTACAGAGAAAGTTAAATGTTTATTCATAAGAAAGTTGATTAAGGATGAAATGTATGGAAATGTGAGAGTAAAGAAAGATTTCTAACTTAAGACCACTTGGGATGTATCGTTCACAGGAGACACTCAATTCGGTCGATACGCGCAATAATATTTCTACTTTGGGGTTCATCCTACATCAACATCAATAAATAAATTAACATTCCACGTGCGTTACGTCCACGATGAAAACGATCACACAGAATAGGCACGGCAGTCATATAAAAAGGTCAAGAACAAGCAAGCGTCTAAAAATGACGTCGAAATATCTTTCCTTAAATATCCATGACTTTTTAGCGATCTTCCGATTTATTCCGAATTCATGGAGGACGCAAATTTTCGAAAATTAGTACACGCGTAAATATTGTGATCTCTAACCAAAAGAACTTACCTCGAATCTTTTATAGCCTTTTCTTAATCATCTGGAACATTTAAATTACCTACCTAAAATTCCGAATCATCGTTTTAAAATGCATGAACTGTTATTAACAATTTCTCAAGAACTACGTAGTCAATTAAATTAAGATTTTACATGCACATTGTTTGTACTCTAAATTAGTTCTGCTCCTCGAAACTATCTTAAGAAACTATGTATTTGTTATTTTGTACTTCATTACAGAGCAAATCACTGATCAAGTATTTTAATAAAATTAACTCCCTTTTAAAATGACGTGCGGTTTCGATGTTTCGATCATTCGCTAATAAAATTCGATGTTTCGTGTGTAGCAACCTAATATGTATTTAAATTCAAACAGATTCATTTTAACGCGTACAAGAATTTGATTCTGACGTATGCTCATGCGACAAATAGTAAGTACTAAATATGTAGCATGCAAAGAATGAACGTGATAAACGTAGAAATCGGCGAACGAACGTACGGATGAGAGGGACGAAGATTTCAGAAGGGTAAGGGAGATGAGCGACGGCAATCAATTAAGACTCGCCGGGCGTCGTATAACGTAATAACGTGTTTTAATTTATGCCATGCCGGTTTTTATCGGACGCCCGGAGTTCCCAGTACTGGGTGGGTACATATGTCGGATAAGTTATGGTTATGGGCATCGATTTATATGCATGCCGCATATCGCGTCGAAGAGCCTAGAACGTTTCTCACCGAGAAAACGAGTCACGGCATCGGATCGGATCGGATCGGACGTCTCGAGTTGAACGGGAGGAATGGACAAACGCGAAAGGAAAACAGAGAGACCAACGATTTTCCCGAGAAATGTTCGACTCGATCCGATTCGATTAAATGCGCACTTCTTCTATCACCCCCGTTAGGTCTTCTATCACCAACATTGGAATTACGAGGAAATCGAGTTCATAGAAAACCAGTCGAGAACCTTGTTGAATAAATTAAATTTTGTATGAAATAAATTATATACAGGATAGGATATATCGCGTGTACCTAATTTGTCTTACGGAAATAATCCTTCTAAATCTTCAAGCACTACATTATTTCATAAAAAATATTTAAATTATTTCATATAATTTCTATTTGAAGTGCCTTCAAAATTGTACCTATTTCGCCTCCGAGTTAATAACAACGTATCGTTAATTGTAGATTAATTACCATTTCAAATGTCTATTGATTCGTCACTGACGTTACTCCTTCCTTCACTGAATTCTTGTTAGAGATGCTTGAAATTCCTGTAGACATGTTGCTGACTAGATCGTTGATTTCATAGACAAAGATGGATTGATCGAATGGCACAGGTAACAAAAATTCAATTGAGTTGAATGAATAATTAATCACGATTGTTGCACGATAACATTCTTATTACGTACAGCAGATGTTTCATTGATAATCGATTACGAATGCGATTAACAGATTTGATGAATATCGTAGTCAAAGTTTGTCCTTTCATTTTTAACAGCGAAAACATAGGTACGAGCAACTGCAGTGTCTTTCGAAAAGCAGTTCTGCTTCTGAGGCAGGGAATCCCCCTTGACAAGGTTCGTTGAACCGAATAAGTCAGACGGCGAGATTTATCCAATATGAATAATTTGCTCCATCAACGCGGTCAGAGATATCTCTCAAAAAACGACCGTACCGAACTAATGAATCAGTTTGAGTATTATTCACATAAAACATTACGCCACACACAGGCAAAATGGATTTACATGTTCAACAAAAATTCATCTCGAATTTATCCAAATTCAAACTGTTCTTTAAAATCGCTTTTACCTTCTACAAGCAAATTACAAAAAAAAAAAAAAAACAGTTGGAATGGATGAAGAATAGAACATTCGAACTTCAAAACATTTTCTGTTTTATCAATTTTCGATGAATTGTAACGAAGTTACTTGAGTAAGATACTTATACGTCCGTCTTGTCGGTGCTAATTTACCACTATGGTCATTTAATAAATTTTATGTCTCAGCTTTTTTAAAGAAGAATATCGTTTCGGATTCGTAATTTGCGAATTTAAAAATCAACTTTCGACTCATCTTTATAACGAAGGTTATCATCAAGATTTTAGTTCTTGATAATTACGGAAAGACAAAGCTTTTGAGAACTTTCTATTCATCGAAATATTTCCTTGTAACTGTTCGTGCGGACCGCCCATTGTGAATTCTTCAACGAGGTCCAAGTTCTGAGTATAGTCCACTTCAGTTGTGACATGATTTCTCAAATGCAACGATAGACGGAAAGCATCTCAAAAAGTTGCCGAAAAGTTTACGACTTACATACACTATATGTTCTTAATTAAATATATGCTTATATGTATCGTGTTTATGTATAAGTGCATGTACTATCTCTTATATGAATAAATACAAGAAAATATTCAAGGGATTATTGTTAAAATGAAACATTGCATTATTTCTTATTTCATTTATCTGCGAGCATTTAATTCCGATAATACAATACAGCTTATTAAGGAAAATGTTAAATCGACTGAAAATGTTTTTTCGCTACATCTTTCACGATTCTGAGAGTAATTTTCTTTGCCACGAACGTCGTTTACTTCTCCTCTTTCGCGTAGTGAACGGATTACCACAAAACTGAAATATAGCAAGCACGCAGCGAGCTGACAAACCGATTCCTCGAGAAACTGGTATAAACTGGTGTAACAGAATATTTATTAGGTCGTGTAATATGAAATGTCGAGTTCTCAATCATCCGTAAATCGATAGATCAAACGATGATTTGATCGTTGGAAAGTTCTAAGGTTCGTCAAGTTAATTTAAAAGTCGCACAACTATTGATCGTCTCTGCCATGTATCTCAAAAGTGTTATTAACTCACAACAGCACTTTAACTACCCTAAAGTATGTAAGTGTAAACTATTTTCCATTAAGTGATAAATCCATAGAGATAAATTTTCATTCATTTGATATAAGTAATGTTCTAGACAGAAAGTTACATTTTCTTATGTGATTCAAATAAAAACTCGTTGAGTTTTACGATGAACCAACTTTATGTGTTTCAGAACATCACTAATTCAAATGCATTAATGTTAAACAAGTGGAAATAATAGTAGTTTAAGTATTATATGAAAATTTGTTCTGCATCACGTGATGCGCCTCACCTCAAACGACTTTTGCATAATTGAAAGAAGCGTGACCACTAGAAACGACAAAACCAAGAACAGTAGCAACGATACAACGACACGAGATTAGAGAGAAAAATAGTAAAAGAAGATAGAATAACTAGCTAGAATAATGACTTACTGTGCGCAGCAAAGGTCATGATGACGTCGCTCTGGTCGATGGCCCTAAGATCCTGACCGGTGAGATCGAACTCGCTGGTCCTACGTTGTTCACCGATCGGCTTTTCGTCTTCGTCTTCGCCGAGGGCATTTTTGTAAATGTCCAAAAGGAACTTGGGTGCCGACCTTTTAACCTGTGGCGGTCTGCCGGCTGTGTTCCTCGGCCGATCGGGCAACCCGAGCAGATTCAATATCTCGTGCTCGACTTCCCGCTTTTCCCGCTGGCTGACGACCCTGTGTACGATAGTCTGGTCGAAACCATTATCAACGTAGAGGCCACTCATTCTATCCGCGGATGTGGTGCTCGTCAGCCCGGCGAGGATCGTCCCGAGGATTAGCAGGGGCGCGAGACGGCGCGGCGACATCTCGTCGCGTCCTTCCTTCGCTCGAGATCGGCAAGGGCCGGAAGGCAGCATTCTACCTCCCGCCGCTTCCACCATCACCTTCCCCTACGCCACCGCCTCCTCCTCCTCCTGCGTCGGCGTTCGCACGACGACGACAACAACGTCGTCGTCGTCGTTGTCGTCGTTCCTATCGAGTCAGCGACGTGTACGCCGAACGGGATCGCCACCGGGAGGCGATCGCGGATCGCGAACCACCAGCTGCCACCAACCAATCGATTGGTCCCGATCGTCCGAGTCGCTGAGAATTCACGATGCGACACTAAATAACTTACACTGTATACGCGTCACGATGTGTCGTCTAAGTTTCTTTATCTGTACACTAGTTATTATAGGTGGATCGCTTCTTTTCGATTCTAAAAGAATCTTCGTAAAATTATTTTTGACATTTCGATTATCGTTGTTCGATATCGTTGGTCTGTTCAGTTAATCGTGGCTACTCGTCGGAAATATTGATGGAGAGTAGAAAGGTATCCAGGTGTCGATCGGAGTTAAATATGAATCGGTACTGCGATCGAGGATCAAGTAATCAGGCACAGACAGGAACGCGCACTTTGTCCGGCGAACGATTTAATAACGTAACGGAGCGCATATTCGCAAAAAACACGGACTACGGTTGATTTTCGATACTGTTTCGATAACCAGCGGTGGTACTGACTGGTGACCACCGCCGCTGACTCCCGCGATGCCAGTGCCAGCCTGTTTGTCTGGCCCATGCCGTACACCTCCGAGAGCTCACCACCGCCTCCCAGGGCCGTAATGCTCCTCCGACAGAGCCACGCCTCGCTTCGTCTGCCTCTCTTCTGCCGCTATCTCTTCTTCTACTTACTTACCTTTGCCACGGATTTTCTGGCTTGCTCGCTCGATCGCCTCGCCTCGTTTCGTCTCGCCACGCTTCACCTGGCTACCATTCGCCTTACCTTGCTAAGAATTCATCTCACATCGGCTCTTGCCTTGCCACCGCTTGACGGGCTACACGTTATCCTCTTCAGGGACAATGTTTCTTAAGTAAAGTAGTGTGAAATAAAAAATGTACTTTAGCTAATCTCGACATTTTTAATTAACCAATGATTTCGTACAACAAACAGTGAAATTAGCCTATTTTACTTATCGATTTTTATTACCATAAGTCGATTAATCAATTTTCCATGATAGAAATTTATAATACACCGTTTTTTGCGATTGTTGACATGGAACAGTTTTGCTTCTTAAGTTATGCTACTCCACTACGTGTTATATCTTACTTTACTCGATTTCGCTAATCGAAAACGCTAATAAAAGTTACCCCTTTCAAAGAAAGCCAACGTGAAAGGAGAGAAAGCATTTACCGTGGGACACACTGTATAAAGAGAGAAAGGGGTTACGTTGAATACTGAAGTTTTGTACAAAAGCAATCATAAACCGTCTTACTATCTAACATAGTTTATTCGCTATTAATTTAGAAAAATTGTAATTTGTACACAAAAAACTTTTATTCACTACTCGTATTTTAAACGTTACATTTATTACAGACTGCTGACAGACGAAATTTTATGTACATATATACATATTCCAAGTTAAATAATCGTAAATTGATGGATGTAAGAAAATTTTATCAGATATTCGCATAAAGGAATAAAAAATGGCCACGTCTTAGGGAACATTTATCGACTCAAGATTCATCGTCACTGCACGTAATCCGCAGTGAAAGGGTTGAAAAACTCTGTGATCATTCTGAATAATCAATCACTTCACGATTAATAATGAATGGTCTACGTCTGTAATTTTGACACGTACACACGTGAAAATGTATCGCCGCACTGTTCCAGACAGATGCTCGCGATAAAGCGAGCCGCGAAAATGAAAGATAGCTAGCCGTGGAAAACGAAAATGTTCTGTGCACGATTAGATTGTTCGTGCCTGTAATACACATGCATAATGTTGCGTAGCTACGCAACATTCATCGTACGATTACTTAGCTTTAGTATTTGTGGAATGTTGCATATAATACCAGATGTTTGCGAGTTGTTCCGTACAGATTCACGGACGCACGTACATTAATAATGTAATTATTACGTAATGAAAGAAGTAAGCGTAGAATTTAAGTAAATAATCATAGTTAATGTGAGAGTAAAAGATGAACAGGGTCAACTATATGATTATTATTTATACATCAAGATATGATCATAGACAGAAGTCACACGAGAAAATATTCTTCAGTTCTGTGCATTTTTTTACGTATCACGAAACTGAAATATTTAAATTATAATATTCAAAAGTTGTTGCTTACCAGTTAATATTTAAAACACGCATAAGATCACAATTGTAAACATCATATGAATTGGCTTTCTTGTATTTTTAATAATATAATAACGTAAAATAAAAACAATAATCCCGCTTACATCGCATCCCCATCTAGCCCTCTTCCCCTTCTACTAGACGTTGACAAAGAAGAAAAGCATGTATATATGTACATGTATATCCGTTGCTTTCACCATATCGAATGATATAAACTTTACTTGTCCTCAACCAGACCTGCAACTTTCGTAAACGTAATGGCAATCGTTAAAAAAAATAAGATTCTCTGCTCGATCCAGCAAATGTGTACAGAAAAAGGGACATAGAAATAATGATAGATGGAGATAGTCAGATGGTGATAGAGATAGATTAATGGAGGGCGAAGTAGGAAGAACAGCAAAAGGCTTCATATTCGGTGATTGCACATTTGCTGGGTTCATTATAAATATAAAATACAAGTATTTTTTAATTTTAAATAGATGAATAATCAATAATAATTCATATGCCGCAGATATAGAAGATCGATTGTCGGTGACTTATTGAGAGATAACATCGCACCGCCAAATATTCGAAGGCAGTTGCACGCTCCTGGGTCATAGAGATAGGACCGCCCCTGTCGAAGAAGTAGGCGGTGTTCACCAGCCCTGATCGTCGGTGTTACTCGACTGTTTAACGTGAAGCCGGAGATCAGGGTTAGCGAGGAAACGGGATGCGATGGCGGTCGTACAAGAGAGTCCGGACCTGAACCTGGATGTTCTTCCACTTTTTCAACCCCTGGGATCTTTATCAGCTCTCGCCATCTGAACCAGACACGAGCAATTTCCGTCCGATAACCACCGTGTCACGCTATAGGTAAACCGTAGCTTACATTGGTAGTAAGTAATATTCTTATATTATATATTGTCTGACTGAGAAACAGCCATCAAGTGAACTGGTGCTTTGAATTTTGTATTGACCAATTAATTAAATTTATCGTTGGTAACTATTCTTATAATTGCCTCACATTCGATGGTTTGATAAATTAAAATACATACCTATACACATTACATATTCATTCGTAAAAGAATGTAAGATACTATACGGTATGCAAGTAGCAAGTACTTAACTACATACACGTAAGTATGCATGTACAGTTGACACGAAAGTTGGTCGTACGAGAAATTCCTTTCGAGAAGACATCGACTCCGATGGCAACCTTTTAGTGGACACTTATTTTTGGAAACGGTCGTGTTCCTCGGTATCAATTTAGATAACAGAGAAAACAGTTTTACAGAAAGTGATTTATTGCTCAGGCGAGAGTGGGATTTCATATATATTTGCGTTTTCTCTTGCTGTATTTCGGATTGTGAACACTTATCTCTGAAGACCTGATAGCTTAGAATTTTTGTTTCGTTCATTAGTAACACCTTCGGTTTTGTTGATTACGCAAAATATTATTAACCAAGTGTGATAGAGTATAAAAGAATACGAAACCGTACTATAGATCACAATCAATAATGTAATATACATATATGTATATAATTAACACTTCTTTTAAAATCCTTTCGGTTCACTTAACAGAAAAACATGTTCACTATCCGAACAAGAATTTCTCTGTACTTAGTAAATTCAGGTGACGTTAAAGACAATCGCTATAAAGAATGCTATGTTCTCGTGGAAAATTATCAATAGACATGTAAATATGCAATGGAAGAAATAAATCACGTTATTACATTTTATATGCAACCGGTTTAAAGTAGACGGATGACGATGTATGCGAATCTGACAACGAGATGATAATATTATTAATCAGTCAACCAAGCCGCTACGAGCCTTGTAATGTCTCATTTATTGTAAGGAATATTTGTTTGTACGGATGTCGGTTTTTAGCATACGACTGTCTTAAAAGTTCATGTAGTGTAAAAAGTATAATACGACCATCACAAATTGTACGACCCATCCTTCTAACAACTTGCAATCAGTCCATTACATATTAATTGCAAATAGCATTAAGGATGCCAGCATTCTTGATACACGTAACAAACACATTGGTTCTCAATTCCACAAAGATAGTCCTAAAACTATCTTCGTAAGAGAAGAGGGGCCATTATGCATACTGGCTCATCCGGTAGAATGTAAGAAAATCTGGTAGCATTTTTAAAAAATTACTATTCTCACAGGTTGAATCTTTACGTAAAATCACGATTACGTACAGCAATTACATAAAAAGAGAGAATCGAAGTAGTGAAATTATTTGACTCGTTACATGTTTAAATGCAAGTAAATTTCAAAGCAGATTGATTTTGTTTGAAATAAAGTATAAATATTTAAGTATAACATGTATTGGTGTTCAAAATTTTAAGAATCATTTGAATTTACTCATTCCTGTTTCTACTACTTATACTCCTAATTGTTAATATGCTCTCGTACGACAAATTGTAAAACGCTCGCAGTTTACAGCTATGGCTCATCGTTCTCCGTGTTCGTGGATTGGAACTCTCAGAGAAAAGCAAAAGATGCTGCAGTTCACTCTCCTCCTCCTCTTCCTCCTATTTGTATCTCTCATTCTATCACCCTCCTTCGGGTGCTTCTTTCTCCATTCCTTGTCTCACGGACTCTCCACTGACCAACAGCAACGGAATAAACAAAGTAAATAGAAGAACATAGGAGGTAAATAAAAATGTGGCAGCAGAAAGAGAGAACCGAGCGTGCGAGAGAAGAAGAGAGGAACAGGAAGGTCGGAGAGGGAGAGCGAGGTAAAGAGAAAAAGAGAGTTAAATGGAAAGAGGGAAAGGAAAAGAGTGGAGAAAGGGGAGAGAAGGACGAAGGGGGAAGAAGCCCTCGGGGCGAATTCCCATCGAGCATCGGCCGCTGCAGAATTCAGAGGTGCGTTCACCGGGGAAAACCCTCCCTCAGATTATCCACGAGATTAAAACTCGATAACTTTGTATTTTTCGCGCGCAGTATCTACTGGCATTACATGCTTTTCCTGCGACATACTTCTTTTCACCATCATTGTTTCATTTTTAAAACTGCATGCACAGTAAAGTGCGTTGCAACGATAATAACAATCAATAATAGGTAAGATAGGACAGATTTACAAAAGGCAAGCTTCATAAAAAGACCTAATACTTTACGATAATTCGCTATTTAATAATCTGATTATTGAGAAAATCCGGAACGTACCCGATTAATGGAATTCTACTGTACTGAGTGACGAATTTAGCCGCATAGAGAACAGACCGAATCGTACCGTAACAGACGACATATCACTTCCCAGAAATCATCCCAAGGCAATTTACCGGTGAACGGTCTCTCTCTTTCTCCTTTCCTCCACCGTGCCGGTTGAGTCCAGCCCGTCCCCTTGGTGTGTCCCTGTCGCGTTAGTTGGCCAGGTCGGTGCCAGGGAGTCTACCGGTGATAACCAGCTGCGCGTTGTACCGGTAGACTGCCTGCCTGCTGCCTCCGGCCGCTCCGGGGACCCTGGGACCGGTTATACTTGACCCAGCGGTTTACACGCGCTTACCGTCGTCAACACTACCACCGTCGAGGCCGGATCGCACCGCTACCGAAACACGCATCTACATTGCTTCAACAAACTTCACCAGTCTAACTCCTTCATTCCCTTAGTCTCTCTTGCTCTTTCTTCTCCCCCTCCACCCCCCTTTGTCCACGCTTTCTCACTCTCTCTTTTCGTTAAATCACTGATGCCTCATAAATATAAATTTAAACTTTCACTATTGAAATTTAAAGGTTTTATATATTAAACATTTAAGATAATAAAGAAGAAATACTCTTGAAGTATGTGTAGACTAAAATGAAATCTTTCATGCAGTGATTACAAAATGTATCAACACATACCCGTATTATTTAATAAAAAGTTGTTTGGAGTTCTTTCTTCCTACATAGTGATATGTTTTAATTGGTATATACATATAGATTTATATATATAGGTTACCATGAAATTGTAAGAAAATTAATGGAAAAGGAATTTTTATTTCATGAATGTTGCATGAACATCAACAACATTTTTTGCATCCACTGCATTTCGAAACATAGAAAATATTGGTTTTACTCCAACTTCAATTATTTGTACGCTTATTTTTAGAGTTCAACTTCTTTTTCAATTGGATTTCTCTAATAAGTATGAATTAGATGATATGTATTATTTTTAATTCTTAGCTGTTGTGATGTGTTTAAATAATTTCTTGAGATTTTTCATATAAAATTTGATTATTTTGATCAATATACTTCAATTAAGTACTGTGAGATTTCTTATTTAAGCTTGGCTATGACAAAAAATAATGTAAGATTCAACGTGCCTAAACAGTATATGACTTATGTAGCACGAATCTACCTATTGAAAGGTACATTCAAATATTGCGCTTATTTATAACTCAGATTTGCGATTAATTCGTAGAATTATGTAGCTTAATAATCTCTGTGTTTATACAGTCAATTATCTCATGGAGTCACAACTTGAATTTGGAATAATAACTCCTTTGTTACTTCCTATTGTACGATACTTTACAAATAATATGTCAGTATTAACTTAAAACTATTTACAAACATAATATATAATGTTCGTGAGAATTTATTCACTTAACGTATTTTTCCATGAATTTACGGTGAAACTCGCTTCTTAATGAATCGTTTATGAATACATCATGTTTTTGTTTCGGTTCCGAACGAGCACAATTTTTGAATACGACATCATCATCCCATCGCCGTCTGACTTTCATATCTGTTCTTCCACTTTGTGAAGAATAATTTAGCAGAGGATTACCAGAAAGAATATTTTCCATTCGGATTCTTTCCTCCTCCTGCCGTTTCTCCATTTCCTAAAAAAGAATAGCATAGAAGTTTCAACACATATCAAAAACAAAGCTGGAAATATTCATATTCATGGACTGAAACAAAATAGAAATTGGTTATATAAAACAATTTAAATTCGTACCTTTTTAGCTTGTTCTGCTGCTCTTTCTTTTTTTATACGTTGCAATTCAGCTAAAAGTGCAGCAGTATCATCCTCGTCGCTCTCTGATTCAGAGTCGTCATCGTCAAGAGGATCATCTGCATCTAAACTCGCGGTAGGCACTTGATCGAGTTTTTGTCTCTTAGCACTAGTCGTGGAACTATCACGAGGTGCTTCTATCATACGCCGGCTAGAGCTCTTGTCCTTTTCCCTTTCACGTTCACGTTCTTCCAACTCCTTCCGAAAATCACGGCTCCGGAGTTCTTCTATCGTTCCCTGTCCATGTTCTCTGAAACGGAAATTATTTAACTCTTCACCTGTATGAGTTATTTTCGACACAAGCTATTTTTCTTATTTCTTATCTCTGACTTGCTTAAGAAAATTAAGATAACACATAATAATGAAAATTATTGGAACATAGTCT